TTGCCCACACTGAATCTTCTCTGCAAATTATCTTGGACAGGTTTTATGAGACATGTAAGAGCTTCGGGATGGCAATTAGCCTCAAGAAGACTGTGATCATGTACCAAGGGGTGGAAAAACCAATATCTACCATCACTCTGGAGGATAAATCTCTTGGTGTCATTGACAGATTTTGCTGCTTGAGTGCTACGATCAGCAGTAATCTTGACCTTCAGACTGAATTGACTAACAGAACCAGAAAAGCAGCTAAGAATTTTGGGCTATTACAGAAATGTGTATGGAATAACAGTAAACTATCAGCTGAGGTGACAATGAGAATCTATGAGACTTGTGTGCTGTCTTCCCTGCTTTATGTTTCAGAAATGTCATCAGTGATACATATGCCTGGCACATCAAGAGGCTAAACAGCTTCCACGTGACATGTCTGTCTAAGATCCTGAAAATAAAGTGGGAAAACAGAATACCAAATGCAGAGGTAGTGGAACATGCAAAACTGACACACTTAGAAACCACAGTCAAGAAGAGGAGGTAGCGCTGGATCAGCCATATCAGGAGAATGGGAGAAAGCCATATCCCCAAGAATATTTAGCATACCAAGAAATGAGACCGCCTTAGAAAGCAAGGTTGTTGTCTACGGTGGTATCACAATGCGTGCAAAATGATATTAAATTGTTCAACATCAACATTTTATTTTTTTCAGCTCTTTGTTAACTTAAGTCTTTTTCTCCAGTTGTGTTTCCCCCTCCCCCGCTTCACCTCCTCCAGTACAATTTCTATGTGAGAGGAAGATTTTTGAGTGCCTTTACAGACTGTTCTTCTTTACCTTCCAGATGAGGAATTTGGAACAAATTAATGGAAGGCCAAGAAAAAATAGAAGCACAGATCCAATTTGCTTTTTTGAGGAAAGCTAGTATGCTTCATATGACATATAGTCTTGCTGATTTAGTAAAGATTTGGACACAATCTCTGTTTGTACCTGACCATGACCTGAACTTAACAGATCCCAAAATCAGGAAAATTAAACTAACAGAATTAGTCTTTGTTTTGGTTACCTTGTAGATCCTCTAAAACTTCACAAGCTGGATCTATATACTACATGTTACATAAGCAATACTAATGCTTCTTTATCCACAGAAAAATTATGATTACTATGAATCTACATTCCCTTTAAGTAGGGTGACCACCTTTTTAAGATATAAAGGTGGGGCACATGCGTACCTACTAGGGCTCTGTGAAATGGCACCGTTCCGTTTCACCTTGAGTTTTGAGGTTTTGACAGAACAGCGTTTTGTATTGAATTTCATTTTGATTCAAAACTGCTGTTCCATTTGGCTTCGTCAAAACAGTCAGGCTGTTTCAACTCTGTTTCAACGTTTGGCTTGATCTGCCAGGGACGGCTTCCATCCCCAGCGCTATGGCGCTATGGTTGAAACGTTTCGACTTTCAAAACGTTTTGACTAGCCTCGTTTTGTTTCGAGGCTGTTTTGAAGCCCTTTGTTTCATTTAAATTTTGCTGTTTCGACCTCAAAATGAGTTGAAATTTTGCACAGCCCCAGTACCTACCACCCACCTCTGCTAGTGGCATGGCCAGAGTGGAGCAGGGGCAGATGCAGGCTGCACAATGTGGGCTTGTGGCTCCCCACCCTGCTGCTCTCCCCCTGGGACCTTGCACTAGTCACGTGCCCCCTGTCCAACCAGCAGCAGCATAGGACACAATTCCACACTGCTGCCACTGCTGCCGGGTGGGCAGGGGGCGCATCACCATGGCAGCGCAGGGCTCCCAGGGGGAGGACAGCAAAGCAGGGAGCCCCAAGCCCACAGTTGGCAGCTCACATCTGCTCCCACCACAGACACAAATCTGGGGGGAACACATGCCTCCCATGCTCCCCTGGGGTTGTGTGCAACAGTGAGGAGCTGCCCCCTCATGCCCTGCACCCCCTGGACGAGGTGCCCATGACTCTATCCCACTTCCCACCCCGGCTCCATGCACCGCCCTGGCTGGGCAGTGTTCCCAGCCCCAGCTCCACTCCCTCCCTCACCATCAGGACCTCAATCTACCTCCTCTCCCACCCCCCATGCCCTCCCTCCCTCTTTATGCCCTCTTCCTCCCCATAGATGTACCTTCAGGGAGCTGCTCTCCAAGCTGCCTGGCTGTGTTCCCAGCCATGTGTGTGGGTGTGCACGTGATGCCCCCTGTGTACTGCTACCAGCAGCCCCTTGCACGCTGGAACACTGCCAGCCTGAAAGGGGAAACCCGCCATTTCCCATAGATCCCTGCATGATGCTGTGAATCCAGGACAAATTCTGTCTCAGAGTCATTCAGCCCAGGACCTGGACTTGCGGTTCTCATTCTGGGACTGTCCCACCCAAGTAGGGACAGGTAGTCACCCTACCTCTAAGGCCTCTGGTCTATTTTGTGTGAAGCATGGGATAATAGGCAAGAACATATCCAATTAAGATTTTAAGAAAGAAATCATAACATTTGTGAAACGTCTAAGCAATAACAAACGGTGCATAAGGATTAGTGCCTATTCTGACTAGGTTTTTATGGAAGGCCAGGAATAATTCATTTGTTGGCTGTTCTAAATAACCTGTTCAGCCCTTAAATTTTCTCTCTTTTGTGCAGGCATTTTCAGATTCTTAAATTTTCTAAAATTGTGTATTAAGATAACTTTCTTTTTGTAGTATATTTGTTTTTTCTTTCCCCAGGTATTTTTGGGATGGCCTTTAAAAGTGAACTGCTGATCAAATGTCAAAGTTGTATTAAGCACCTATTAGTGAGTCAAACTCGAGTGTCTCACTCCCACCCACAGCCTCCTGGCCCTGCTCCACTAATCAGTATAAAGATAAATTTTAACTAAGTTTAAAAATATCAAATGGGATTCTTATTGTAGTCCTTCAAATCACAGATGCCCTGAATTTAAGAAGTATCTGGTTTTACTTAATTTTAATTTAAGAACAAAATAATAAAATAAAAATAAATCTTTATTTATATATATAAAATATGTATGCATATAAAAACTTTTATATATGTTTTACTCAAAGGTAAGATGCAGGCCATTTTAGAATAAATATTTTGTTTTTAAAAGTCTGTCATATTTGAAGGAATATGCTAAATAAGATGAGATGCACCAACATTGTAGAAGATAAGAAAGAATATATAAAATGTCAGTTAAAATATATTTGCATTGAATACTACCTACAGCTTGCTTAGAATGGAATTTCAGTTCAGTGATACGGGGTTAGCTCAATTTACAGTTTTGGTTTGTTGTTTCCCTTTAAGCATTTTTAACCTTATTCTCCTTGGTCAGCATCCCTAGAAATTTCCTGAACTTGAGTCTCACTACAAAGAACTCAAACACTATGAACATGGTCTAGAAAACATGGCAGATGTTCTCTTCCTTTGTGGCAGTTGAATTTCCAAGACAAATTTCTTCTCTTTTGGTTTTAAGAAGAGAATT